TTCCCGTGCAAAACCGAGTTTTTAAGCTTTCAGCGACTATAACTCACTTCATTTTGATTGCTGTGTTTCCCTCTTTCCATGGGGTGAAAGAGCAGGTTTTGCTCTTTCTAATAAGCCCTAAACCATTTTTCAAAGTTCATTTTTCGAGAAAATCCCACGTTCGAACATTTCGGGCGGTTTTGCCGAACACATTCTTTGAAATCGCGAGTTTTTGGGCTTTCAACGAGCATAACTCGCTTCATTTTGATTGCTGCGTTTCCCTCTTTCCATGGGGTGAAAGAGCAGAATTTGCTCTTTCTAACAAGCCCTAAACCATTTTTCAAAGTTCATTTTTCGAGAAAATCCCACGTTCGAACATTTGGATCCCATAGGTTTTTGAGCAGCACATGCGAGGTTTCGAGCTTTCAGCAATAATAACTTCCTTCAAAGAGCATGTTGGAAAGAGGCGAAGACATTTTTGAAGACCGCGAGGTTTCTTCTTTCTTATGTGTTTCACGATTTTGTGGAAGAACCGTCCGTAGAAAAGTAGGTTCCCGAAGAAGTTCAATTTCAGCCACAAGAAGTCAAACTTTTCATGGAGATGCATTCAACTGTTCTCTATTCCTCAAGGAAAACACCGTAATTTGCCCAAAACTGTCTCTTTGTGCATAATTAATCGAATCTAATGCGGTCTGCACAAACAATTCTTGCCCTCGTATAACAGCCACGCACATCGCCGGCGACATCCCTCGAATATTGCTGAACCCCACTTTCCCGATTCCCAAAAGCGACCGCCTTCGCATCGCACAGTTCGAGACAGACGGTTGACTCCTGGGGAGTATGCCCCCGGCGAAAAAGGAGCCACACATCTAAAACGGAAATTACACTGCTAAAATACAACCGATAGGAACTCCAAATAAAAATGAAGACACGTGCCGGCTATTGACAGAAGCATTACGAACCCTCTACACCGCTACATCGAAATATCCCACGTGAACCAATGGTGTAAAACTTAGCTCATCGCGGTCGTATATTTATCATAGCCACCTACGCTTTCATCATCAGACGCTGGTCGTAAAGGAGGTATTAACATATCAGTAGTTTCTGTCTATGGGGAGTTCCCCATCAATGATCGAGGAAATTATATAGCTGGCTTCAGGTACTAGGAGCGATTACGGTAGGCCTCTTTGAGCTCAGATAGATGGCAGATGACGCCCTATTCCGAGGATGATGAGGGAGATGAAGTAGGGCCTGCTTCTGCTCATGGAGTGGGGGGACAGGGGGTATTAAGGGAATATTTTGCCGCTAAACTTTCATCAACAGCGGCATCATGTGAGACGAAAAGTTTGATGATGTGCACTGTGAGCAAAATGACTTTTTTGGCCACCCCTACACACTTGTACTTGCTTCTACTCTTTTCAGCATTTTTTCAAAGCATCGTTTCGTTTCTCCAAATGTCTAGAGCATTCAGGAACTGCGGCAAAATGAAAGAGCGATATGGAAGGGAGAATTGTTTGTACTCTTTCCAGCACTTCTTCAAGCATCATTGGCCATTTCTCTAAATGTCTCGAGTCTAGAGTATTCAGAAACTGCAACGGAGCCATTGGAAGGCATCTAGAACACAGCAAGAAGAAACAATTATCGAGGCGAGATCGCCAACACGGACTGGGGTCTGTCCTACTTGCAGGACCTGAACATCGCAATTCATTCGTACCGCATCGCAAGCCATTTTCGAATTTTCTTAAGGGCAACAACATTTTCCCCAACCTATTCTTTCACATTTTTCTTCCCGACCGCAGACCTACTGAAGTTCCGATGGAATGAATGCTCTCAGACTTTGTGAATCGAGCGATTCGCTACTAGCGAGCGGCTAGTGGGCTAAACGCTGGCTAGCACCGATACCTGTCTACTGTTGGTCAATGGGCTGGTATGTGATCAAACGAACTCGAATTTTTGGCAAGCGAGATTGAGATATGAATGAAATCGGTTTTAGTAGATTTTATAATGATCGAGCAGTGGATTATTTTCAAATGGTCCCTTGACTGGTGACTTCTTGGATTTCTTGGAGTGATGTAGATGGTAGAGCAAAATATACAGTCAGGAAAATGCTACACTTCTACATATTTTATCGTTTGTAGGTTTGTCGTGCCGCTTATTTTCGATAAACAATCTCCTGCGGGACATACAGATGTGTTTTTCAGTTAGAGCTTTCCCATGTAGAAGTTGGAAGAGGTGGGTAAATATTTGGTCCATTTGCCGAAATCCACACAGTGGATGCTCAGCAGTTTTCCTGGAGTCAAGATCATTGCTTGCTCGTCAACTAACTTCATACCATAAACCACAGTACCCAACAAGGCAAAAGTGGTGGTCTTGATAAATGGTTGTTCCAGACACCGAAAAATAGGGTTAAATTTCGGTGAAGTTTATCGTATTGGTTTTTCGAGCTAGAATTATTCCAAGAAACTAACAAGAACATTTCTCTCGTTTGGGGGTTTTCGCTTGTTCTCCCTAAGGGAGAAGCGGCGTTTGGCGGTCAAAAGGACAAATCTCAAACCTTAAGCCACGTTTAGGCCTTTGAGGAAGACGATCTCGTCGAAACGTCAGGCCACTAATAAAATTCTCCACTTCCCAACCTAACGAACCTCGTTGGCAGAAGAATAATGCCATAATAACAGCAATGCCGAGGCTTTACGAAGAGAGAAGTTGGAGTTTACTAACAAGAACACGAAGGGAAAGTTTTCCATTCTCTAGTCATGCTTTCAGATTATGTAGGTTGTTCAAAGATTCCAAGTGTTAACGAAGGTTGAAAATACTGAATAGAACTGGAAAACTTATTAAAATGTGTCGACAGCATTGTGAGCCATCTGGCTCCCTTGTCGTGAAAGCGTTGGAATATTTGCCAATTCGAGCACTGAGCCTGGTTTAACTTACTTGGTGGGATGTCGGGATCTTCAAACATGTAGGTGAAACATCCGCCTGCACAACTCTCCACCTGAAGTTTGCCAGGATTCTGAGCCGAGCAATCAGTGAAGGAGCTGTCCTGCATTCGGGGTAAACCGGTGATATGCCATCGTGACGACAAGCTCTCCGAAGCACACTGTGATGGAATTATCGTTCTAACAAGCGCTCACCCAAGCCAACTTTTGATATAACTTACTACGTAGCAGGACTGAGTTTCTTGCTGGGAGATATGAATGAGAGCAGTCACCAGAAAGATGAGACCAAGCATTGGCACTGGGTACACAGACGCGGGCCAAGTGATGATAGACGGATTCGTGACGAGGCGACGGCTTATAAAGGTGGTGTCATCTAGCTTAGATCACAATGATTCACTTCGAGTGCAAGGTACGAGCGTCGACGACTTGTGATTGACTCTCAAAATTCGCAGCCCTACTTCGATGAAGAATGGAGGCTGGGAAATGATTTTTTCTATCTTCCCTATCTTCTAACGATGACTGAACATGTATTTTTGGGTAGGAAACAATGCTCACACTGTCACTATAGGTTGAGATACTGTAAAGCCAACCAGGAGGTAATGGAAACTACGTCAGATTCATAGTTGAGGTGTTTACAGAAGAATGCTGAAGGTCTCCATAAAATTCTAATGAAATCGACGGCTTCACCTGCTCATCCAGGGTTCACCTTCCTGCGCAGTCGTTCTTCCTAGGGTCAACTTCCCCTACAGCTGGGCTTTTCATACATTCAGAAGGGTCATATTTATCTTGGAAAAGCGGAGAAGTTCAAAAATCTTCTGCCAACCACTTCTTGTCGGTTCTTTGATGTGGCTACCATTAGTTTTTATTATAGGTGGAGGTGGTGGAGGAGCTGACGGTCTGCCGGGTGGTGGGTCGATAGTGAGGGGTGTAGCAGATTTATGCTCACTGTTGAGGGCAATCGTCTTGTATTCCCAGGCACTTTCGAGCTCTTTTGATATTGCTCTGATTTTCAGTCGAGATAACCGATAGAGTTGGGGCAAGAAGCTCTTATCACTCACATGAATCGGGCTCTATATATGCACGAGCGGTTTGTTAATTTTTGTCTGTTGTTGTGCTTGGATGTTGTTTGTTTTGCTTTTTTATATTCCGATTCTATATATTATATTCTAGACAAGGGCGGAAGTGGTGTAGTGGCAAGTGGCACGCTTACCACGCGAGCGGTCCGGGGATCAAATCCTGGGTCGTGAGTCGCCCGGGCCAACCAAGCCTTCCATCCCTCCGGGGGTTAATTGGTACCAGACTTGTCTGGGAGGATAAAAACACTGACTTGTACATCGGCTGGCCCCCGCAAGTCATTGTATAGGCCACATCGCATTCAAACGCCACTACGAATGTACAAATGGAAGTAGAATGCGTGCCGCATCCCAAAAAGGGATTGATCAACGGCAAATGCTTTATCCTTTTATCCTTTTATTATTCATTATAAGCTTTAACCCATTCTTTACTGGTCCTTGCAGCCAGCGGCTTCTTATCGTTAGCAGGACCACAGCTCTTTCAGGACACCTGACTTCCTGCGATGTAAATCCAATGTGGACCATGCCCCAGAGATTATTTCGAAAACTACAGATTATTTTGAAAACAAGTCGGACCAACCACTATGTGGCCGTCCTAGTTGTTTATACTGTTCTATTTGCGCACCAGTCC